ATTCGAGCTCGGTACCCTTCTTTGCCTTTTGATGGTGACTGCTGAAAATATAGTCTCTTACAGACGAAATACAAGAATGAAATCAGAATTTTCATATTTCTTGTTGTTGTTAACATTATTTCCAATAACTCACTTTTTCATCAGCCATCGCACTGGAGCTAGTAGGCTCCTCATTCTCTTGTGTTGCGTCATCAAGTACTTTCTTTTTTTTCTGATCGGAATGAGGCAGCGACTCTTGATTTCTCTTCATTGTTCTGTTGCCTGAAAATCTATGAATTAACAAATTAACAATTCTCACTCAAAAAATTTTTTTGATGAAGAAAGCGTTCGCAAAACAGTGAAAATTGCAGAAAAAGAATAACAAAATAAAAGAACACCATATGGCCCTGTAAACTGTGATACGGGGAGGCACTTCTCAGAAAAGAAAAATCAGAAATGTGAATAAAAATGAAGTGGTCTCTATCTGTGCAAATAATATTTGAAAAATAGATAAATTTTAACACATTTTAATGCAATAAAAATTTCTGGTCGGAGTCCCCCTTTAAAATCTCCTAATTTTCATTTTAACATTCAAGAATTTGGGAATCTTAGAATTATAAGTTTTTTCAAATCAAAAATTTGAAGTCTTCAAATTTCAGAATCTTCCTCCAGCTTCTGCTCTGCCATCCGCTCTAGACCCCTTCCCGGAATTCTCGACCACACAACGGGGGTTGCCCGGATTCAAAAACGCCCAGACCGTCCCAATTCCTTCTATCCCGGAATTGAATCCCAAGCCAACGACCTCTTCTGAAAGATCAAGGGCAAATCCGGAGGGACCAAAAAGAAAGCCAGGAAGGCCATTAGGATCCAATCATAATTTTATAATCATAATTTTATAAAAGATGACACTTTTATGCATCGGGTATGTACCATAAATTTGTCTGTCTATTAGGTTGGCGGGAAAGTCTTTGTCACTCTGTTTGTTTAATCACTGTTCTCGTATATGGAGGCTGTGTATGATATCGACTTTAGTGAATAACAAGGTGATAAGAACCTTCCATATAAACAAGTCCCCATCTCCTTCCCTGCTCCTCATCTGTAATTGAAACGATATGTTTGTTCCCACTGCTATTCACATCAGACATGTTTTGATTTACCTCTTCCTATCTCACACCACGATGAAGGATTCGGAAACTTTCTTGAAGAATGTGTACAACACACATGCCCCTCACTACAATACTATTCCCAATTGGTTTCATCGCTTCGAAAAAGATGACTTCTCGCTCGATGAAAATGATCGCTCTGGGAGACC